CACATGAAAGCAGAAGAACAGAAGCTGAGAGAACACTGCTGGATGGGGGCTCAGCTTGAGACTTCTGTGCTGAGGGGTGAGGTGTTTGCTCCACTTCACCCACTTGCCATGCATTCCTGCATGTCCAGCCCCCTTGTGACTGTCTGTGTGGTATGCCTGTCACTGCCTTGCTGCCCTCCATATTCTTCCTTCTGCTCCAGCCACTACATATCCTGTGCCAGCCCCTCTCTTTCCACTGGTCTACCAGCCCCCTTCGTCTCTTTCCCTTCCCACCTAACCCAGGTTGGTGGGCAAATTTGCATTATGTAAAATCCCTTTACACAGAGGTCTGAAGAGCAGTCCACTTACATAAAGGAAGAACTGTCTGTGTTTTGATTTGATTGCTCTGTATCCCAGTTAATCATTTGGGGCCTGTTCACCTTTGATAGCCTGCACTAGTAGCTCCCATTCCATTAATAGAAGTGACAGAGAGGCCAACTACAGAATGTAACCCATAATAGAATGACAATGTTGTTCATTGAGGAAGTGCCTTGAGAGCATCTCAGTTACCAATATTCCTCTATGATTAGCTGTCATAAAGGGGACAATATTATTTTGTTCTGGCCTGTTTGCTCTTCAATTGCCTAGAACTGTCAGAATTATTCATATGTCTTTTTTTTTTTTTTGGTTGTTGATGAGATTGCTTTCTCCATCCAGATCCTACTGTGGGCTCTCACATGCTACAGCAGACATGAACTGACTTGGGTAGCTATACTGGCTAGGTTTGTACCATTATATTTTTTGAAGGATGGAAAAGCTAGCTTGAATAACTCAGTGGGTTGTTTCTCATCTGGTTTTAATTAAAAGCAGTAAACTCAGAGTCAGAAAACCAGCTGCCGTATCCTGGAGATGGCCTCTGAGGTGCCTTTCAGCTATGATCCTGTAACCTAACATTTACCAACTAGGGGACTTAGGGTGAGACACTTACTTCTGAACTTTAGTTTCTCTATTTATAAAATGAAATTATATATATATATATATATATACACATACACACATATATACATATGTATACATACATATATACATACACACATCTATATATATGTGTGTGTGTGTGTGTATATATATATATATATATATATATATATATATCACTGCCTATCTCATGGGCAAAGATTTAAGTGCTCATGAATATTGTCATTGTTTATATCATTGTTATAAACTTTTGGTGGGTTTTTAGTGCCAACATATTTCATTGTATATTTTCCCCCAAAACTTGAAAAGGATATAAAATTTGTTCTGCGCATTTGAAGTTCTAATAACTAACTTCATAGCAACTACCACTGTTGAGCCTATCTTTAATGGTGTGGGTAAGGGAACATTCCAAGAATTGACACCAATATGAAATCAATCCAATTCAATAAACATTGGAGAACATAGTAGAGAGTTAATCAGAGAGGAATAAAAGAATTTTCATCAGACCTCAGTTGAGACTAAATCACATAAATTGGTAGTGAATTCAGTTGATATAGTTGCATGACTTGATCTAGCAACATCTAGCAGTATGTGAGTAGGAATGGAGAAAGTGAATGGAGGAGGTGATGAATAGATGTTTGGCAAAGTATGACTGATGATAGGACAATGGAGAAAGGTATTCAAGTATAGCTGCTCCTCTATGTTTGAATTGGCAAACCATACAGTCAAGACTGTGAAGAAAGGGAAGTAAGGCCGGAGCAAGAGTAACTAACTAAGAGAACAGAGAGGGTGGAGAAAGTGGAGGTCATCTTTAGGATGAAGAATAGTTATGTGAGAAGTGAAACAAAGGGAGAAATTAAAAGATAAGAGGTTGTGTCCAAAGATAGGAAATTTCATTTTTGAATCATGGAAGTGGAACAGTACAGGTAATAGATGAAATGTGTGACCATGCCTGGGTATGGATGAAGTTGAATGAAGATGTAGGTCATAGGAGTTTAGGAGGTTGATGATCTAGGAGATGAGAATGTCCAAGGAAACACTGACATACTTAATGAAATCCCCAAATATGAAGGCAACCTATGGAGAGGAAAGGGAGACTATGAATGAGGTATTAAACTCTGAGAGGGAAGGTGGATGACCTATAGGCCAAGAGATGAACATGACAAGGACTTACACTGGTTGATAAAGATAGAAGGAGTAAACCTAAAAAATAGAGAGGTTGTTGAGTTAGAGTGCCAAGGAATTATCTGGAAGCAAATGTAAGAAACAGAGACTGTGCCTATTCTTTCTATTAGTCCTGGTCTTTGGGGACTAGGAAGGAGCATCCAGTAGTGGAGAAAATAGCCAGAGGTTAAATGAATAGAGAGGCACTATGACAAAGAGAGTTAGCCTCAGAGCCTGCCTAACCTAGGCTCAGGTCCTTCCTCTGATACATACTGGCTGTGTAGCTCTGGGCAAGTCACTTAACCTTTCCATTATTTAAGAAATTCTCTAAGACCAGAAGTTGTAGAGCAGTTTCAATCTGCATTGGTAAAGGGAATTTTCTTACTCAAGAGTTTCGTGTTCTAGTGCAATCACAAGTCCAGTCTCTGTTCATCCTTACCTCTTGTTGTTGCATTCTAACCCAGAATTTCTAAACAAAACACCCAAACTAAGACCAAGTGTTATTCCCTTAAAATTAGTCACCTTGCAAAGCTATGCACCTATTCCAGTTGTGTTATATAGTGCAATACATCATTCCAATTGTGAACATCCAGTCATATTAACTGCTTCAAAAGATAACACTCACTTGGTTGTATAAATTTTGATGTATATGTTTAAAAAAATCACATTCATTAGTTCAAGTCATACTGTAGCACCAATGCAAGTGAAGCAGATCAAATTCAATTCATCAAACACATTGAATACCTACTGCACACAAAGTTCTGTGCTAAGCACTCGGTGGATAGGAAGGTAAAAAACATGGTTTTTTTTACCTTAAGAATGAAGACTTTTAAAAGATCATTAGAAATGGCAATTATGAAGTCTATGATGACTTTGAGAGAACAGTTTCCATAGGATGTTGTGAGAAGGAAGGAAGGAAACAAGCATTTATTAAGCACCTACTATGTGCCAGGTATGAAGATAAGGAATGAGTGGGTGTTAAGGAATTGGGGTCAAGTGAGATTCAAGAAATTTGACACTGGATGGGAAGAATGCTCAAGGGGATAAAAGGACCTGAAGAAGGTATGCGGTTTTTGTTTGGGTTTTTTTGTTTTGTTTTAGGACTGAGGAGACCTGAGCATATTTGTAAATCAAGGGAAAGGATCCAATAGAGAGGAAGAAAGGTTAGATGAAGAATAGAAAGAAGAATTGATGGAGCAAGATCTTGGCAGAAGTAAGATGGATTAAGATCAAGGGCACAATTGGAGGGCATCATGATGGGAAGAAAGATGTCTACCAATTTCTGGGACAGATAAGGGAATTCTGAGAAGGCAGTTAATTATTTACCAGGGCAACAACTCAATTCTCTAGCATGTTTGCTGGTAGTAGACAATGTGGCTATGGTCATTTAAATAAAATTGACCATACTCTTCAAATGCATCTGCTGTGTCATCAGCTAAAAAGACTCTATTTTAGCAAGGTACATTTAAGTTTTGCCAAAAAACAAAACAAAACAAAAAACAAAAACCCTCCAGCCCTTGTGACATATAGACTTCCTGCAACTAATAATGTAAATAGGCTTGCTCCTCCCATATTTTTCTCCTGTATTTGAAAGAACACTAATTTCAGCTCTATAGGACAAACATGTTGTGAAAATATACAAATTACCTGTATCCTGCTTACATCACCTTCAACTGTAGACTGACCTTAAGTGTCTTCTAAAGAATATGAAACTCAGCTGGGTGGCACAATGGATAGAGTGTTGGATTTGGAGTCAGAAAGACCCCTGAGTTCGAATACTGCTTCAGATACTTAGCTCTGTAACCCTGGGCCACCTAATCTGTCTAAGCCTCAGCATCCTCAACTGTAAAATGAAGATAATAATAGTTCCTTCCTTACAAGGTTGTTAGAAGAATCAGATGAAATAACAAGTGGAAAGCACTTTGCAAAATTTCAAGTGCTATATAAATGATAGGTATTATTTTTTATTACACAAGAAATGCACTTTCACCATCACCTGTAACAAGGATAATTTTTGCATTCTTATCAATGCTAACCCAAGTTTGACATCTGGGAGACAGTATAATGTAGTGGAAAGAACTTTGGACTTAGAGTCGGGAGATCTTGATTTGAATGTCACTCTGCTGCTTATTAGCTAAGTGACAGTAACTAAGTCACTTTATCTCTAAATCTCAGTTTGCTCATTTGTAAAGTGGGGAAATAACCTATCTAGAGGGCTGTGATGAGGACAACATGAGAAAGTTTGTCAGGTTCCTTATAAACTTTAAATTATTACCATTATTTTTAGAACCATTGTTCTATTTAGAAACATGTACTCTCTGTTTAATCTCTATGATACTATATTGAAATAGTTAAGAATGCAGCGTACCTGGAAGCTAGAATAGTTTCATATAGAGAGTTAAAAATCTTATGAACACTGGATGTCCTTGAATCAAAGTTGTATATCGAAAAGTAACACAGCCTGAACTTTCATTCATATAGGTAAGAAGTTCTTTCATAGAGTATTATAACTTTTAGTTAAATGTTCATTGTCCTCACTACCACTGACACCTAAAAACTGTGTACTGTTGTTGCAATTCTTTTTAACCTAAGATGGTGTGCAATCAAAATAAAAGGTTATCCAGGTACTTCAGACAGAAAAATCCAATTTCTTCTAAATATCTGGATTTGTTTTTTCCCATATTCACTGAATAATTCTACAGACAGCCACTTAGTTTTGTGTAGACCTGACAATACATTACTCAATTCTAATAGAGAAATTTGTGTAGAAAGATAGCTAAAATAAGCGTCAACATGTTATCAGTATTCACTGGAATTTAAGGGTTTTACTGCTTACAAACTAAAAGGGAACTAACATGGATTCTTCATGTTGTGAACAGGAAATGTTTGATGTTATTCTGGATGAAAATCAGCTTGAGGATGCATGTGAACATTTGGCAGAATACCTTGAGGCATACTGGCGTGCTACACACACAACAAGTAGCACCCCTATGACACCTCTACTTGGAAGAAATTTGGGCTCCACGGCACTTTCACCATACCCCACTGCAATCTCTGGATTACAGGTACCTGTTGACTCAGTCACTTTTTCAGGCACTTTCTCTACACCTAATAGACCAATGATGGTGAAGCTGAAGAGGGAAATACTCTACGGTAAACATAAAAACATCATTTATTAACAGACTTCTATGTCTATTATAATGCTAGGCCTTGAAGGCAGTATAAAGTTTAGATCATCTTTATGTAGGTGACTTCAAAATTCCCATGTTTTAATACTTTAATCGATCTGTGATCTGTGATCTCATCATTGTAACTATTCCCTATAATGGTTTAGATCACAACGTATTCATAGCGTTTCATTCTGTGCATCTTTCAATCATATCCTCCATAAAGAATCCACACTAATATGCTGTGGACCTCATCTAAACCTTTTGCCATTACATGGATACCAGTGGAACACACAGATTGTCAATTAGTTATCCCTTATTTTTTCTATGTGATGAATTTTCTTCCTTTTCTAGTTATAGTTCTCTCTGAAGATATTGTTTATACTGTCTCTCTTGTGTAATTCATCTTTAGTAATATGCTATAGTTTACTTACTCTCACCACGTATTTGTCCTTGCGCTTTGGGTTACCCGCAATTTGAATACTTCAGAGACTGTGTATTTCATGACCCTGTCATCGTGTAGCAACATGGGAAGAATTCTGATGTTAAAAAGATGGTCCCGTGTATCAATAATAAGTTTGGAGTCATTAGAAGCAATATACATCTTCTGAAATGGGCCAAGTTTGTTGTCTATCTTCATTGCCTTTCCAAGATACATATTCTAATGGAAGAAGGTCTATGGACCATCTCTCTAATTAAATTCATGTCAACAAACATTCATTAAATATCTACTCTGTGAAAGATACTATACCAGTTGATGGAAAGACAAAGACAAAATTAAAATAATCCGTGACCTCAAGGAGCTTATATTCTTCTAGAGTGATACAAAATATATACAAATAGATATATTACAAGGAAAATGAAAGGGAGAACCTAACAACAGGTGAAGATTAGGGAAAGCTTTATGGAGGAGGTGGCAGATAAGTTAAGCTTTGAAGAAAAACAAGGATTCTGAAAGGTAGAGGTAAATCCACTTGCCTTTAATATTTCTTATATATCATGCTTATTGTACTTTTTTCATTCATCAAGGATACTCTTAATATATGTGCAGCTTAATCTAATTAGGATTTTTTCAGAGAAAAGAAAATGAGCAATAACTTGTAGTGATTTATATTTTTTAATGACTTATTAAGGGGTGGTAATCGTTTCTGATATTTTCCAGGTGTTTGTCATTCTCCTCTTCCATCTATCTTGAGAAACAATCTCTCTGCAGTTTCTAAATCATGTTGTATCCATCACAGACCTCTGTATATTCTTTGTCTAGTCTCTCTGCTTTCCTCATCTTTTTCTTTCTATTTCCTCATGCAGCCCAACAAGGGCATTAGACAATGTCTGCAAAGCTTTTTGCAAACTTTAAAGTGCTATATAAATACCAGCTATTATTATCATTAGTAATGCTAGGGGCTTTTTGCAAATATTTTTTATGAGTACTACAATACAAGATGATCAAATATCCCAGGAATGATGTTTCTTGTTACCTTTGGATGCACAATGAAACCAACTATGCCAACTACGTTTTTGGCCTTTTTTCTTTCAAACCATCTTTGCATTTAGCTGGGATTTATTTTTGTCTTCCGTTTTATATTGAGAACATCAAAATTGGTACAACTCAGTTCTTTCAATAGAGCGTATACTCATTGGTCAAAAAGCAGTTCAGTATGTTGGATAAACCATTAGACTTGGAGTAAGGAAGACCCAAGTTAAAATCCTGCCTCATTTATTTGTCTGACCCTAGGCAAGTCATTAAACCCCTCTAAGCCACAGTTTATTAGGCTGTAAAATGAGTAGGTTGGGTTCCCTTATATCTCTAAGTTTATGGTCCTAAGGATCTCATATTTACAGTTCCAACAACTCTGTTAATATTTAGTCTAAAAACCGTGTAATTCTTAGTAACTTCTACTTCTTTTTCCATCACTCAGCTACTGTTGCTAGAGTAGTTGAAGGAGGCTTATGGAACTATGAGTCATTGTGCGATTTTCTTTGTTTAGGGTGTTATAGTGGCCAAAGAATTCATCACTAAGTGGTCATCTTTCTAATACTGGACTCCAGGAGTGAGAAATGTAAAATCAAGCCTCAGGTCCTTAATAGCTCTGTGAATCTGGGCAAGTCACTTAACCTCTGTCTGCCTCAGTTTCCTCATCTGTAAAATGAGGGTGATCATAATAGCACCTATGTCACAGAGTTGTGAGGATTAAATGAGATATTTGGAAAGCACCAAGCACAATTCTGGCATATAGTAGGTACTGTTATAAATAATAATTATATTATCATCATCATTATCGTTGTTGTCATTGTCATCATCATCATCATCATCATCATCATCATCATCATCATGGTTCTCTGTACTTAGCCAGGTTCATCCCTGGAAAGCAGACATAGGCTGTTGCTAGAACTATTCTGAAGCTTTTCCAAACTAGTAGAGCCTGCCAGAGTTTATGCTTTGATCGAATGACCATGGTCACTTGTAGACCATGATGAAACAAAGAAGCTTAGGGCTTTGTCCAAGTCCATATTTACACAGCTAAAGTCTCTCAGGAACTCCTAGCTGATCACTTAAAAATCTGCTGGACAGCTCCACCTGAATGTCCTGTGTTTACCTCAAACTTAATATGTTCAAAACTGAATTCATCATCATCTTCCTTCCCTTCCTCCAACTTCTCTCTCTTAGTTGAACCTTTCCTAGTCACTCAGCATTCATAATCATTCTTAGTGTTTTCTTGAATTTGGCAATTAGGAGATCATTGGAGATCTTTGAAGGAATGTTTTCAGTAGGGTGGTGGAGTTAAAAGCCTTATCCAAAGGGATAAGGAAAGAATATATATTAAAAGAATTAGGGGTATCAGGTATAGTCAACTTTCAGAAAAGTACTTCTATCTGGACATATTATGAAGTAGGTAACTTTTTTTTCCTTTAGCACATCCTGTTCTCCTTTCAATGTCTTCTCCCTGGTGCCCTGTACCCTAATGCTTTAGGGGAAAGCACTTCACATGTTGAGCAACATACAATAATAACATACTGTCTTAATACTTAATACTTATATGTCTTTGTGATCTCATTACTATGGATGTTCTATCCGGAGATACTGATCATAGGCCATTCATGCCTGTTGAATTCCCATAAGTTCACTAAAGGAAGTCCACCCAACACTCTAGGGGCCTTCCTCACTTTCTCCTGTTATTATAAAGATTCAGTGGAGCATACAGACCACACAAAAGCACTCCCTTGCTCTCACTACACAATAAGCTCGCCTTCTTTTTTTTAATCATCTTTTTTTTAAATAAGATTCTTTACTCTGATTCTTCCACATAGTTCATTATTTATAGTATTATGTGATGAAGCTTACTAACACTCCATTGGCTTTGACATAATAGTCCATTTAAATGTTTAAACATACATCAAAATCATGTGAGATTTCTTGAAAAAATAGCAACAGGGATAAACTTCTTTGTGTATGCCTTCTTTGTTATTATCAGGCAAGCCATAAAATAGGATGATATGATTACCAAAGGTATTTACTACTTTCATGGGAGAGAGCCAGCAGAGAGTCCAAGTTAAAAAGGAAGAGATTTCACCTAGGTCATGAGATTTTCCAGATGCTCCTATTTGTGGATACTATTATACTAGCTGCATTAAATTGTGGAATGTTATAGTTCTTGCAGGATGAGATGCATAACCATTTGAAAAAAAGTTTGGCATAACTATCCACTCAGAAAGAACCAACTGGATGAAGAATTCCTATTTTCTAAAGTATGATATACAGTTGGGTAGGCAACTCATAACTCATCATCTATGTATATGCCTTGGGAAGATACCATAGATGGACCATGCATTCTATCCAGATTTAAATAGAAGGAGGAAATCAACCTATATTACCTATGGAAATTGCAGAGCTCATTTAATGACCCCAAATTTCTACCTAAAATGAATATCTATATTTTAAGTATTAATATTCTTCTGATACATAACTATAAGTCATAATTATCAAACACACTATTTAAGCTCTGTTAAAATTTGTATTACTCTTATAAGTCCCTAAGAAGTAAATCTAATGGTGGATGTTTCAGTTATGCATTTGGGAATAGATTGACATTTTTGCAAACCTCAAATGGCAGCTACCAAATAGGGAGCTAGCAAGGGCTCCCATGATACTCTTTGTAAGTATAGAATCTAGGCATGGCTGAACTTATAGAATATGTTCCTAAGCATATTTCCAAGTGTGCAAGTATAGCCACTACACACATAATGTCTTGCATAGGATCCTGCCTTAGTCAGCAACTATAGAAATTCTCCAACAGGGAATGTGGAGATGGGTATAAATAGAAAATTTTCTCTCCTCTGCTGTTCTTTTGTGTGCATTGTAGTATGTTCAGACCCAGACATGGAGAATCAGAGTGATTATGCTACCAAATGAATGTTGCTTTTGCTGAATTAATTATTATTTACCATTTACCCAGCAGCTGCTGAAAGGTATTTGAGACCCCCAACTTACTAACTGTGAGAAACATGTAGTCAATTGAACCTTCCTGCATCATGACTAGTTTTGTTTTAATGGGTTATAATGATAGTCATAATTGTAGATCATGTGGAGTTAACTCTGAGATAAATGGCACTCTCTGAAATGCTATTATAGCTACATTACTATGCTACAAAATTGCATCTGTATGAGTAGAAAAAGTACTACATGAATGAGTAGCTTTAAAGGATGGAAATGAACAGAGAAATGTACTATAAGGTAGATATAGTATGTCCATTGAACCATATCTTGGTTTCACTTACTGTAGAGCTGATCTGGATGTAGCATTTCCATTGTCTTGTTTGGATCAGTTCTGAGAAGCACATGGAAGAATTTAAAATAGACTTATTAAGAGGTATGTTTCTGTAATATGTCTGTAGAAGTT